CCTAAGTAGCTACCTTCTTCCATGTTCTAGAAAGGCTATATAATTTATAAAGGAAAAATACTTTCAAAATACAAAAAAAATAGAAACATGATATAATATGCATGCTTATGCTCTGTATGCAGTTTGGGTTTTAACTGATGAAAACACTTCAGTATATGTGTATTTAGTTACTAGGTGCCTTGATAACTCACTATAATCTTTCTAGTGTGTACAAATATTACAGTACAAGCTCATAGCTACTTAGGACCTATCTGTGCCTTATGTACTTTGCCTTAAATCAATCCTGTCATGAATATTCACTCTCCTGTTCTATAAATGAAGAAACTGAAGCTTAGGAAAATTAAAGAACTCACCTAAGAAGACACAGATAAAGTCAGGATTTGAACTCAAGGGTAGGACTATCTGGCTTCAGAGTCTCAGGTCCTGATTGCTAGTTTAAACTCCCTTTGCATTAAGAAGTTTATTTCAAAATGCCTCTATGAGAGCAAGAACAAGGTCTTCCCTTAATTGTTAAGGTTATACACTTAATTTCCATCCACATGGCACATATTTAATACTGTCTGAAAGTAGAGCTCATATTACTGCTGATTACCACTGTGAAGGTAAAAAATGAAATAGCCTCATCCTCACTGACCCTGACCAGAGTGATTTCAAGTTCAGCAGCTCGGCAGAGCTACTATGAGCATGGCTCGGCACTCAGCACTCGAAAAGTTAAGCGTTAACAGAAAACCGGGCTATAATGACACTAAGAAATCAGGAAGTTCCTGACACCAAAACAGGGGCCTTTCACTCAGGAATGGTTTCCAAGACAAGAGGTCATGCCATGCTTTAGGAAGACACACACTGGGGACTGTGGGTAGGCCGAGGGAGCGAGGGAGGCACTGTAGGCAAGAGCCCAAGGAAATGCTTGAGGAACAGAGACAAGGAGTTTAGGATTAGCTACTTTGGTGAATTTCAGTGGGCTCTGAACACAGAAGCTTCTGTCTATATGCAGAAAATTCACTGTCCATCAAGCATGACAGAGAAGGGCTGTGCTTCCTCTTGAACCCATTTCATTTGCAAGTTATGTTCTATACTCTATTACATAAATATATATGTAACACACAAATATGCACATGCACACACAATAGTTTGCCTGAGTGCATTCTCAACATCAGACAACTTACCCTCTCCCACAGCTACCCCTTCTCTACCATCTCATGAATTATCAAGTCCATATTTAGTGGGTCCAAGTTAATATGGCCTTTTGGGGTTTTATTTCTCAAAAACTTGGAAATGCATTAAGGCATAATGAATTTTGACCCCACAGCCTCTTTCATAACAGAAGCAGTATTTTCGGACCCAACATTACTGTTTATTCCAGGAAATGTTTTCTTCATAGTCATGACAAAATCAAACACCAGATTCTCTCAAGTTCCAACAAACATTTTACTTTTTACTTTCTAGAAAGAACACAAATAAATAACGTTGCAACTCAAGACACTTCAAAAGCAACCACAAACGAAACACAAACCCAAAAAAAAAAAAAAAAAAAAAAAAAAAAGGGAAAAAAAATGGATGCTTTACAGAGAGGTGAAAGAAATTGCAAGAGGAAATGCCAGCTTCTGTTAACTGTATTTCTGAGTATTTTTCTTTGGTAAAAGTCTCCAAACTTGAATAAATTAGGTACAACGTCGATAGAAATAAAAGAAGTAATCTGTGAAGAATATTCCAGCCAAAAAAGGATCTGTTGAACAGTCAGCTAAATCCTGTGAGAACAGGAAAAGAGGAAGATGAATATTAAAGTATTTTTTTTATTTGCTAAGTGTTTAATTTCTTACTGAAAAGGGGGAAAGAAAAACAAACTTACTGGTGCAGCCACACGGAAATGGTACGCGCTATCAGAGAATGGGGCCACAGGGAGGCTCCAAATGTGCTGATACCCCTAAACAATGAATGAGAGAGATGCATTTCATAACCACATTTTACACTCAGATGGAAGAAGTATAGGCTAGAGTAGTTAGTTTTCTCTGAAAGACTGTCAGAGAGGCTCCGTGATAACAGCTTTTAATCAAGTACCACTAGAACCATCAGCAACCTCTAAAGGACACAAGGAAGATGCTGAGCCACGCCCTGTGGCTAGGGTCAACCAGCAAGGAGCACTGGCATTTGGCTCCAGGCATCCCTCTCTCAGTAGCGAACAGATACCATAATTCTAAACATACTTCTACTGTAACAGGACACAATGTTAAGGAGCCAGAAAGCATTACCTGTGTCATCTCCTGGGAGTCTTCTTCATGACTTCGAATCCCTTTAGTTTCCCTTTTACTGCGAAAACATATGTTTCCAAGGGTGAATTTGCACTGGAAGACTATCAATGGCTCTGTTGTACTTCAGGAGACAAAGGCAAAAGAGGACAAAGGAAAAGCAGTTAGTTCTACAGGCCGCACATATGAGAAGAGGAACCAGTGGGAATGAGGCCTGGAGATCTTCCAGGGTTCCCAACGGGCATTCGGGACACAGTGGTCAGTGATGCCAACATGCTGGTGCTCCGCTCACTGCCACAGAAAAAAGCCGGACCTCAGGTGACGACTAAATCACAGAGGATGGGCTCTAAAGCTAGAATCATGACTCAAATCAGTCTTCATCAAAATGTCTATCTCCCTAAGTCTCCATGACTTTTGGATACATTCTTCTTTCATTGGCAGCTGAATTTGCATTTATCTGAAGCTGCAAAGATTTTTGGATTCAAAGTGCTGGTTTGGGTAATAGTGTTTAAAATTGCAAGGTGAGCAAATGGGCAGGGGTTTGGGAGTGAGGGGGCTTGGTACGGGAGGGAGATGGGAGAGGGTAGGGGAAAGGGAACCAGAATGCATTATACACGTTTGAAATGATCAGAGAACTCGTTTAATTAAAAGAAAGAAATCATCAGCTTTTAAAGTTATCAAGGCAGAAAACCTACAAGTAAGGGCAGTTCTTTCCCTAAAGGTCAACTCATTAATCATCATTAAGAGGATGAAATCCATCCTTCTATGAAAAATATTTTACTGAATTTTTTAGAATTTCATACATTGTATTTTGATCATATTCAGACCCTCCCCCATCCGCACCACCCTTTACTACCCATGCTTGTGATGCTGCCTGGCCCCACAAAGGCAATCTGCAGCCTGTGGGGATCACATCAGCATGAGTGTGGTGACTATGCCTGGAGGATCCTAGATGCTCCCACCCACTTCCAATGGCCACCTCTCTACCCTTTATCAGTAAACATGGACTGACAGCATTTTATGTCCTAACTTGGTAAATTGTGGCATAAATTCAGACTTACTGGTCGGTGAATTAGGAAGCACCATTGTTTCTTATAGCTGTGTACTTACTTGATTTCCAGAGAGAATTTAACATTGGTAGGTGTGTTCTTATTAACAGGAATATTGTAATTATAATGTCCAGGCCTAATTTAGAGAGAAATAAAACCACAAGTCAAAATATGCAGGAAAAGTTTCAAAAGGTTTTTTGACACTCCGCATGTACTATGTAAACTGTGAAACATTACATAATAAATTTTTTAAATTTAGTTTGATCAGATACAGTTTCTTGTGGTTTTCATAGACAAGCTCATTCAATGTTAGCATGAACTTCTTCATGTCTTAATATAAAACTTGGAAAGTCAAATCACAGACCAAATACACAAAATTCAATGTGTAGAAATGGTTTCAGTCATGTGCTAGAAATACAAATTTCAGAAGAAAAATTTCAGAAAAAAAGGCCTAAACTCAAAATCCCCCTGGAAAGGGAGTGTGAAATAATAGCAGTATGAATCACTCCCTTCTAAACAATTTTAGCAAGAAATTTGTACGTTTAGAATCTATGTCAACTATAATTATTATATGCCTGATTATCATTTAGTAAAGGAGAAAATTATAGGCAGGCTTGCTTATCCATGGGCCCACCTCCCAAATGAAGAGAGATGCTTAGGGGCAAGGGGGCAGTCCACTGCCTCCTGTTTTCATGAAAAACCCCAGCAGAATGGCATATCTGCATCTAGTCCAAGTATTCCTTATGAGTGGTCACCCCATGAATGATAGGAAAAAACGTCATAAAGTCAGATAAGGAGGGAAAGAGCCAGTAACTTTAGATTATCTTAAATCACAGCAATGAAGAAACAAACCAGGACAGAAATTGGTACCAGAGAGTGGGATATTGCTGTGACAGACCTGACCTTGGAGTTTTGGGGAGGACTGTGGAAATGTTTGGAACTTTGGGCTGGAAAAGCCATTGCGTGCTCAGAGTTTGTTGCTGTGGAGCTTGGAACAGTTATGCTGAAAGAGTTGTGGATGATGGAGGCCTGGCTTGTGAAGCGTCAAAGGGAAGTGGAGACTGTCAGAACTGTTCCTGTGATATTTTGACTTGAGAATCTGTGGGTCTGGTTGGCAGGGGCTGAAGAATCAGCTGTGATTAAGAAAAGACCAGAACCTGAAGTAAAACCTTTGCTTTACTGGAACAATTGATGCTGGTTAGCTGGGGCTGAAAAATCAGCTGAAAGTAACAAGATACCAGCATCACTGTGGTGGAGTCTTCTGGGAGGTTTTTCCTCAGCACAGAGGGGACCCGCACCTCTATTTCAAGCTGGAAGCAGGACTTGGTAATGTGTAAGGGTCTTCTGCATGGCTCTGGTGTTGAAAGTGTGAAGGGGTCACAGAGAGCAGCTGAGGCTTGGTGCTCTGAGAGGCCAGGAGAGGCCATAGGTGAAAGTGCAGCTTAGGTTGCAGTGAAGACCCCAGGAGTGAAGGGGTCATGGAGAGAATCTGAGGTTTTGCACCCCAAGAGGCAAGAAGAGGCCATTGGTGAAGGTGTAGCCTCAGTTTCAGTGGCGACCCCAGCTTTTTGGAGATGCCAGGATCGTGGGACGACCACCAAGGGCAGTGGCAGGTATGGAATGGGGCTGGCGTGCATCTGCGAGATGAGCTGTGTGTGCTGTGGACAGCAGAGTCAGGGAAGTGGAGCTTTCAGAACCCTATGGAGCCCAGAAGATCTTGAATGAATCCCAGATGTCCAGCCTTGAGCTACTTTGCTGGACTTTGGTTTTGCTTAGGTGTGCCCGATTCTTCCCTTTGAAATAAGACAGTACTTGTTTTGGATTTTACAGAAGCCCACCCACAGTTGAGAGACTTTTAAAAGAGACTTTGGACTTTAAAATGTTTTGATTTTTTAAGGACTGTGGGGTTTTTAAGGTTGTACTGTCTTATGTTGTGATGTTAATATTAACATCATATCTCGGGGACAAGAATTGGAAAGGTTATGGTTTAATAATTGATGTGTTTGTGTGTCAAGTTGACAAGGGGTCAATTGTGCTGGACAGCTTTAGTGTCAACTTGACACACCTGGGTTGAGGGAGCCTCAATC